ACTTTTACGCCGACCCCAAGCGCTTGAAGCAACTTGCCGTCTTCTCACGCCCCGAACACATCTTGCCTAGGTATGGCGAGTTTGTGTACAAGACGCTGCTTCGCGCCAACGCCATGCAATATCTGTTCCAATATCGCTCCCCCACCCAGCCTACTTGTATTTTCTGCGGTTCGAACGAGACGTACCAACACTTTTTGTTCGCGTGCCGTTACGGCCTGTCCGTCTGGCACCACTTCAAGCGCATCCAACGAGCGCTGCAATGTCCGTTCCCGCGCAATGCGTTCGAGTTGTTTTTTGAGCTGCCCAAGCCCCAAGATGGTTACTACGTCCGTGGACTGTTGAAGATCTGGCCCATTGTCCGAGCCTGCGTGTACTATCAAATCTGGCTCCAACGCGCCGATCGAACGTTCCGACCCGACCTTACCCCCAAGACTCCCGTGGATACAGCGATCCATGCAGCCAACCTAATCAAGATGCACCTGCGGCTCCTACTTCGAGACTTGCCTCTCAAGAAAGGCTACTCCAAAGTGTTCAACGTTCTTCGAGCGCTGAGTGCTGACCCATGGTTGAAGCTGCATGTAATCCCTGATTCCGTCCACGCCTAGAACTCAGTCCACCCGACGGTGACAACCATATTCGAACAACTTCCCTCGCGCACTGTACCCAAAACACATATTTATACAGTACGAGGAAAATTAGTTAGTTCATTAGGGCCTTTGCTCAACTAATAAGGTAATAAAACTCAATTAATCTCTGCTAACCATAACTCTAAAAGGTTATGAACCCAACGCAACAAGAATCGGGGAATCTCTCGGCCAAGGACAAGATCTGCTTTCGTGGATCCAACTTCAATGTCTACAAGACGCGAATCCAAGCCAAGTTGAAGGCTGCCGGTCTGTGGACCACTGTGCTGGGCCATGAAGACGATGGCGATGAAGCTGAAGAGAAGGAAAACAAAGCGTTCAACGTGATCATCAACTCGCTCGATGACGACAACGTTGCCTACGTGTGCCACCTCAAGCTGGTGAGCGATGCCTGGGCTTTGCTTACCGAGCGCTACGAGTCGCGTGCCTACGCTGACGTCTCGCATGTGATCCATTGCATGCACACAACGTCGTACAAACCTGGAACCTCCATGCAACGCTATTTGACTGAGATGCGTGCGTTTCAACAAAAGCTCATACACATGGGCTCCATGGTCGAAGACAAAATGCTCGGAAAGGTCGTGTTGACCAGTGTGAAAGATGCGTTCCCAACGACAGTCGAAATCCTACGCTCCCGTGACCCACCGCCGACATTGCAACAGATCTGCGATCGCCTTTTGTCTAAGGAAAGCGAGGTCAACGACTCCAAGCCATCCAAACGCAAGCAAACGCAAGCACGATGAAGAACAAGTCTTGTACACTGCATTACACCAAATGAAGAAACCAAGAAACAAGATGAACGACAAGTGCTACTACTGTCACAAGCAAGGCCATCACGCGTTTGAATGCCGATTGAAGAAGAAGGACATTGAGAAGGGGGTTCATCGTCGTTCAATTCCCAAACCTGACGAAGAAGCCAATGTCGTTGAATCACTGGAGGAACGGTTCTGCCTCGCCACCACCATTGACTGTTGGTACGACGGCTGGATTCTTGACAGTGCTTGCACAGTTGACGTGACTGGAAACAAGCTGCTATTCTTTAAGATCGCTCCAAAAACGCGGTTTCGTTGAACCTGGCTGACAACACGCAAGTCAAGGCGAAACAGTCTGGCGAGATCAAGATACCTCTGGAAGACGGCGGTTTTGTCCTTCGTCCCAACGTCATGTTCGCACCTGGGTTTTGCAAGAACCTGCTTGCACTCCGTGTGCTGCTCAAGGAAGGCTATAGCGTTGCTTGTTGGAACGCTGAGAAGGCAATCTTGGTCAACCTCACAACTGACAGTAAGCTGCACTTTGGGTTGAGGAACGGCCTCTTCATGCTGGAAACGTCCCCACTCAAGCCACTGCCTGTTGAGGAAGCCAACGTCATCACCGCACGCCAACCGATCCCGAAGTTGGTACAATGGCATCGCCGGTTTGCTCACCTGAACTTTGGCGCGCTGAAGCAAGCCATTGCCAATGGCGTCATCATTGGACCAAGTCTCAGTGACTTGAAGGAGACGTTGGACTGCAAGGCATGCATGTTGGCCAAGGGACGCCGGATGAGCTACCGCAACACGGCACCGTATCGCGCGAAGCTGCTACTCGAGCGTGTGCACATTGACAAGGGCGGCCCAAATTACCCCGCCGACGTTCGGTGGGAGTCGCCACTACGAATTGTATGTTGACCAAGCAACTCGGTTCAAGTGGGTGTACCTTACCTAATGAAGGCAAAATTCGAGACGGCAATCAAGAATGCGCATTTTACCAAAACACGATGAAAACATGACTATCTAAGTACGACGGAAACGATTCTGATTGGCTCCGTTCGTTTTGAAAGTTATATGGAAGAGGCCCTAAATAATTATCCTAGATATCCGGATGTAACTGGAATGATGTATCGTCTGGACGAAATATATCGAATGTTCAGCGAACATAAAACACGCACATGGCGTGAATCAGTTGTGCGTCGGTCGAAATATACCGGAAAAACCTGAACTTATAGGAAAATGGTGTAGTACATGTTATTAATATGTACTAAGTAATACCAGAAATGTTAACTCCCGTCCTAGCGGGATAGCGTCATCTACTTACTATTGACGATGTATTGGGTTTATGTACTACTACTATTAATAGTAGTATTTTTGATCGCTCTTGCCGATGCGCACTGCGTCGTCAGCAGTACTAGTACATATCTGCTGCCCGTTGGTTGAAGTTTCGACTCCCAAAGCATGAAGTATAGATATATTAATATTATTCTAATGTGTTAATCATTAGTGCGAGACCGAGCGCAACACAGTTTGCGTTTCGATGGCGGAGCCCTCCGAAAAGGCAAAGCCCGTTTGGTTTCGAATGATCCGCGGACTTTGGTGGGACGTTTCGTCGCCGTACGTGGTGTCGTCCGTAGGCATTTTGTTCCACTCGCGCATCAAATGCGACGGCTCGGGGTAGAACAGCACTCGACCAGCACGCAGGATGAAGTTGGGCAGGACCGCCACGACGCCAGACATGACCATACCCAGCCAGAACCACGCCTCCACACTCAACTCCTGGAACACATTGGACGCTTCGTACATCTCTAAAAAGTCGGCGCCGAAAAGAGTGTACGCCGAGCAGAAGAACCACATGAACGCAAAGTAAAACACGAGCGTCCCATACACACCCACACAGTTGGGCATGGTCCAGTTGCTCGTAAGCAGCGAAATCTGAAACGTCGACGCCACGATCAAGTACGTGTACGAGGCCACGCCGTCCGCCCACAACCCGAGGGGCGCGCCATGGAACACTGCCGTGTCGGCTTCGACTTCGGAAAACCAATTGAAGTAGTACCCGTCGCATGTAAACGGCACCGAGCTCACGACGTACGCGTGCCAGATTCCGAGGCCGCACCAGCCGAGAAAGCTCGACATGTTGAACGACCGGTTGTCCAAGCCGTTGTGGTACAGCGTCGGGTACTGCATCAGCGCCGACGGACTCACGTCTTGGTTGTACATGGCGAGGATCACAATCGGAATCGTCGAAAACAGCGCGTTGTACAGCGTGAACAAGATGCTAAAGTACATGAGCAGTCCGCTGTACAGCGTCTGCGGCGCCATGAAGAACCCCGTGAACGACAGCGCAATGTTCTTCATGAACGAGAACAGGAGAAGCTTGGACACGCGCTTGTAGCTGTAGTTGCCGTGCACGAGCACCAGTCGTTTCAGAAACCGAAACTGGGCAAACGAGTAGTCGCTCGACAGCACGGCCTGCCGCCCTTCTTTGCCGCTGATGCCGACGCCAACACTGGCGGCTTGGATCATCGGGACGTCGTTCGCGCCGTCGCCAATCGCTAGGCTAACGTTCCCGGGGGTCCACAGCAGCGTCGGCTCCGTCACCAACCGGACCACAGCGGCCTTTTGCGACGGCGAGCATCGACAGCACACGACCGACTTGCACTGCTGTGCCACGGCCAAGAACAAGTACTTGATGTCGTCGTCCAGCACGAGCGCCAGCGTCTTGCCGTCGATGACCATCGCGTACTCGATCAGGTCATCGTCCGCCGTGTCCTGGGTGGACGATTCATTTGTCGGCGGGGGTTGCACGCCCACGGGTTCAAACTCCTTGGCAAACGGATCCATGCTGCTCACGGAACTTACGGCATCGTGATGTGGGAACACGTCCATGTTGATGTTGTTGACGTCGCTGGGGCGCCGGCGCTTGCGATGCAGCTGCTTGGGCTGCTCGCGATACTTTCCAGACAGCATCGACAACACGTGATTCATGCACAGCACACAGACCCGCTTGAGCGTTTGGAAGATGACCACCGAGATCGAGTCGTCCTTCTTGGTGCCCCACTTGTCCTCGACCATCTGCGCGTACAGCGCCTCCAGCGTGTCCGTGAGCTGCTCCTTGTTGTTGCTGTCCAGCACAATCACGTCCATCGAGTCGTGGATCACCTCCGACGACATGCCCACGCTGATAGCCGTCTCCTTCTTGTCCCCTGTGAGCACCCAAAAGTTGATACCCGCCTTCCGCAGCGACGTGATGCACTCGCCGACGCCTTCCTGGAGCAGGTCCTCGATCGCCGTCGCCCCCAGCAGCGTCAGGCCGCACTCGACGAGTTCTGCCGCCGCCGCCAACTTGGCCTTGTCCATCGACGCTTCGGCGTCGTCGTACATGAGTTTCCACGCCGCGTACTCTTCCGGCGGGATCACGCGCATGGCGGTGGTCAGCGTCCGAAGGCCCTGTGACGCATAATCCTGCAAGTGGCCCTTGGTCACATGCAGCACGCCTTGGGGCTGCGCCGGGTCGAGCCGATCGAAGATGACGTCGTCCGCGCCTTTGCAGTAGATGTGCACCCGTCCCGACGGGGTGCGGCAGATCACAGACATGCGCTTGCGGTCGCTCGTGAACTCGACCACGTGCAAAATCTCAAACTCGGCTGCAACCCCTTGAATCGTCACTTCGCACTTGGACCCGCGGCGGTTGGTGAGGCAGTACGACAGGTCGTGCGCCGCCAAGCACAGCGCCTGTTCGTCTGGCGACGACGCTTGGTACCGGACGTCCGTTTCCATTTGCGGCATGGCCGTATTACATACCATGAGGAGGGTTAAAAACTCGTGGATGTGGTGGGCCGATCCGTGCTTGTTGTTCAATCGATGCAACAGCCGCGGGTCGTTGAAGCGGGTGCCACGCCGCGCCGACTATGCCAGTTCCAACGATGAAAGCACCCAAAATGACTGACTGAAACCAACTATTACCTACCTTGTCCAAGTCCATGTCGTTGTACTTCAAGCCCGCGACGGTGCACTTGGCAAACACCATTTCGTTGCGCGTGAGGGTCCCCGTTTTGTCGGAAAAGATGTACTTAATCTGGCCCAAGTCTTCGTTGATGTTGCTGTTGCGAGCCTCCGCGGGCATGTCCGACGCAGCATCGTACATGGCCAGGTCGCTCTCGATGTACCGCGCGTGCACAAACCGGATGCCTTCCATGGTTACGTACATGGACAGCGGAATGAGATTGTTGAACAGGATCACGTAGCTCAGGAAGATGTAGTCGCCCCGCTTGGCGCCGTCGTTCCCGCCGTAGAGGTAGGCGGGGTACACGGACGTGGACATGGTCGTGTTGGTGGTGCTCCACCGCCGGTTCCCGAGCGAGCAGTACAGCGAAATCGTAAACAGCACCACCATCACAATCACAAACATGCTGTCCAGGGACCGCTCCACGAGACTGCGCTTGTTCTTTCTCACTCCGTCCGACGCGTTCAGGGCTATTTTGGTCTCTGAGCCTGTGTACAGCACCATGGCCACGGTCCACTCGGAGCTCACAAGGTCGCACCCTCGAAGCAACAGGTTGTCGATGGACGCCGACATGTGACCTTCATTCAGGTCGACGTACCCGCTCCACTCGAACATGTTCTTGTTTGGCGCGTCGCAAGAGACGGACACGCGGAGGGTCGCGAGGGCGGTGGGATTCGCAAACGTGTTGGTTGTCAGCGCTTGGCGGATCTTCATGTTGGTCTCCCCGTCCAAATTGGCCGTCTGGACGTAGCACATGCCGTTCTTGTTGTCCGTGGCCAGCATGAGGCAGTCCGCGGGCACTTCGTCGCCAGCTTTGAGCACGATCAAGTCGCCCACGGCTACATCTTTCCACGTCCTGTCCAAAGTTGCGTCGCCCTCGTCTCGACATAGCACGCGCACGGGCTTGGAGTTGACTTTGAAGTCGGATTTATGCCGACGTAGGTCTTCCGACACGTCTTTGATTGCCGCCGTGGTAAACACAATCAGCAGCGGAATGAGGCTGGCCTCGGGGCCGACGGGCGAAAAGCTGAAAAAGCACAGACCCACCACGATGCTCGTGTACACGTTGGCCAGACGGCTGAACTGCATCTTGAAAAACACGAAAAAGAAGTTCCAGAACGTGTACTTGCTTGTGTGGATCGTGTTGGACGCGAACGACGAGTCTGCCGCCCCCAATGTCACAGATCGCTTCGCCACGGGTTCTACTCAAACCAGAGTTTTGGAACCATATTCTAGCCAATCAACAGACATCCATCGTCGAAGTATGCGACATGGTACCGTTCACGTCGAGTTTGGAGACTTTGGGCTCGGCGACAAAAGCCGCGCGTTCGCATTCGCGTTGGTTCACGACAGACTTGACAATGCGACGCAGCTTCCACCCGTACAACAGCCCCGTGATGTTGCATAAGAACACGATCACCGACAGCACCAGATGAATCCAATACGCGGTTTCTTTGGACAGGTCTTCGGCTTCTTCGCCGGTGTAGGTGGACGAAGGCGACCCATTCCACCCCAGGACATACCACAGGACGTCCACGACGATGCTCAGCTGCATGCCCAGTTTGTACAAGAGGAGGGATCGAGACGCTAAGTGATTCGCGCCGTGCCATCCAAAGATCAGGGTGAGGTACTACTCGAGTCCATCAGCGACGTCGAGCATGCATGGAAGGGTGTATGTACCAAGATGAAGACTGGAACGGTGGAGCGGAAGGAATAGCCTAGCAAAATCGGCAGGAACCGAATCGTGCACAGCGCCCCTTGCCAAATGATGACAAATTTCAACACTTTTCGCGCCTCGTACAGCGTAGTCCGCTTGAGGAAGCAAAACACGCTCTCGAGGACTCGAAACACGCGTATCTCCAGAGTCTCTACCTCCGTTTGGGCTTCATTCACATGAATCCTACGGTGACAACGTTAAGCACCGCTCGTGCATTCATAGAGCGACATTACTGTTCGTTCCGATATCGCAGCGCAATATCCTCTTTCACTGCCGGCGGCAGGTCCACGTCCAACTCAACCTGCTCTGAATCACTGCACGATTGTTCACCAGCTGAAGGCGACGGCGTCTGTACCGTATGGTATCCTGCCACACCACTCTTCCCGTCATCCACCGCGTTCATCCTTCCTCGGGCCGGCGACGATGGTACCAACTGAATCGAAACTGCACTAACCTCTTGGCTGTATTGAATTGTATTGACCAATCAAGTGCGCTTGATTACTGTTTCCTCGTGCGTTGAAATCGCACTTAGACAGTACATTTCATGAACTTCTCACCAAATCTCCAACCTTCGCCAAACAATACGTCTGGTACTACTACCGGTACTTTGTACACTCCGGAGTAGGCATAAAACTGGAGTCGCTGACACTCGATGGTGACATATTTGTCGCCTCGAACGAAATCTTACCGATCTTATGGCCGCGCAATAATCAACCCATTATTAATAACTTACTGCATAACACTATTAATAGTACGCGTGTGACACCCGATCAAAGCCAAAGGTCACGTTGATTCCAGAGAAAAAGCAACCACTTCAAGTTAGTCGAGCCATTTCGCACACAGAATAACGTGGATCGTCTCATGTTTCGACCTTTGGACGTCGATTCTATCATCCGTTGGCGGCTGTGACCGTGACCACTTGGTCGTCGCCAAGACTAGCTCAGTACAGATGAGAATGAAAGTGCAGTTTCTTGATTGCGTGGACGACAAAGTTGCTGTGGATAGCGAGGCGGCCAGCAGGACGACGAGGAATGCCCAACCGACTCTCCGGAGCGACAATGCAGCTGCGACCACCGTTGTATTGAGTGTCGTATTGAGTGCTAACTGCACTGTTTGAATTGGAGTTGTCGTGTGGCTTCGTTTGCCGTCTGTGTGGAATTGAATGCAGCCTTCCATTGGACCCCGAGTGAAGCATGGGCTTGAAACTGATACCGAATCGAGTTTTCTTGAAATGCAGCGCCAAGACCTGCTCCGCTGAGCTCGGATTGTGCTCAGTATCACCGGCGTTAGGGGTATTAAGCAGCTTGACTATGGCCACCGTGGTAGGTAATTTGACTATGAAATTGGGGAGCTGCTGCGCTGGCTCAAATACGCTCCAGAAACGTCATGCTTCGCTGGACTGCGCTTAGAAGACGGTGGTCTTCAGGGAATGGCGTAAAATTCTGTCATCACAAGGAATGGTACAGTACCTCCGGTTCGTGGCCATGGCGCATCTGTGGGGGTATGCTGATCGATGGGTCGGACGCTCTGTCGATGTCAGTTTGGGGCGGGAAGGTCGTGTCTGACGTGCTTGTGGTAGTCCACGTGCTAATCATTAGGAGATGGTCCAGTCGTCGTTCAGTTGATGTCCTGCGAAGACCGATCGCAGTTGACCCGATGGAATTCTTTTCGAACAGCGACGACGAGTCGGACGAGGCCACAGCCACCGTGATTACTCGCCCTGTTAACATCGTAACCAAGACCTCGGCTCGGTATTGAGTGACGAGGACCGACCGACTGACCTGGTGGTATGGAGCCGGAAACTGGTGAGGGACGTCAAATCGATCGTAGTTGTCGATGAGCAGAACGGTCGATTTAGAAACAAGTGCACTATCGAATGGTCCTGCAGGTTATATTTGGCAACGGTCCCTTGCTTGACAGGGATCGTGATGCCCTGACGCCCCCATCGGCAGCAAAAAGTGGATGTGGGGGGCGTTGTGTGTCTGCTTGGAGTTGGAAGTCAGTCCCGAAGGGTCATCGAAGCGAACTCTGCACCAAATGCACGGTTGCTTGGTCTTGAATGTAGTACTCGGCCATCTTCCGTCCCAAGAGTTGTCTGTCTGGTGATCAATGTGAATGTCTACTTTGTCTTGAATTCTTTGCTTGAAAGGTCTGACTGAATTCGACGAATGCACAGCCGGTCTTACGCGTCTTCACCTGGATATGTATGAGTTGTGAGCGCCGCCTGCCAACTTGCATGTTACAGTCCGCAATGGTTTGATCGTCGCCCATTTGTAGGCCAGCGACGATTCATCGTGGTTGGACATACAGTAAGTACACTACATCGTATCCCATATTAATAGAATCTATGGTATTTCTGTGATGTACGCTGATACCATCGAAATCGGACTGCTTAAAATCCCAAAGTCGGGGTCGAACAACTCACACAGAACTCCAAGTCTAATGTTTCTAATATACATACATATTGTGTACCTACGCCCACGATTTCCAATGCGACGACACGCATGAGTATGTGAAAACATGTACAGTACATATAAAACTAGAAAATGGTTAGTGTACTACAATCACAACGCGCGATGGAAGGCGCCGCCGCCAAACGCATCCTTGTAGTAGGTGTTGACCATAATGTCGTACGAATGGCAGCCTTCGAGGGTTGCCCGTCCCGAGTCGCGGTGCGCGTCGTCGGCGTCTTCCAACGCCGCGCTGTACGAGTCCCGGAGCCGCGGCTTGAGGGTCTTGGTGGCTAAGCTCTCCTTAAGGATATGGGTCGGAATCGAGTCAAAATAGTTGGGCAGGTTGCGCGGGGGCTTCTCCTTCTTCATCATGCGCACGCAGATGGGGAAGACGGAGCGCAGGGCCGACCCAAAGTACCGAAACACAACCACGCGGACCAGCGCAACCGCGGCGATCGCGACCAGCAACCCGAACATGACCTCGGACGGCATGGTGATGGCTCGGGCGACGATGCGACCCCCGCGCTGAAGCTCGGCGTTGAGCGACCCGAGCGCCGAGAATTGCGTCGTCATTTTGTCAAAGATTTGCGTGTTCGAGTACATCCAAATGCCAAACAGCGTGTGTAGAAGCACGGCCCACGGCAGCAAACTGCCCGCCGCCCCCGCAATCTTTCCGTCGTACTGAGGCGGCGACCGCACCACGCGCAAAAACGCTATAGAAATATCATACCATTTCTTGTCGAATCATCCAAGCGATACACGTAGACGTACTGAATTTGTCCGTCCAGTACGTAATGATCATGGAAAACAACCCGATCAAGAGCATGAGCGGCATGCCCGACGAAAACTAGGCCAAAGGAACTTAGCATCCAGAAGACCACCAAACAACGAAAGATGCGTACCATGAGCGTGATGAAAATGGTGTTGATAACCACAGAGTACCGACTGGCGAGGTCGAACTCTGGGCCGCGGTACAGCGCCTCCAGATCTCGCTGGGTTTCTTGGTGCGTAATCGTCATGTCGAACGAGAACCCTCGATCCGAGAACCGCTGGAACTCGACCACGACGTACGTGATAAACACACCGGCGTGCGGCGACACCATGTTGATGAGCATCGTCAGCATGAGCGAAATCCCCACGTCGTTGTACCAACTCACGGAAAAGTCCGAGTATTTCCCCGAAAAGATCTTGACGCCGTTCACCGACGCCCCCGCGCCGCTCTTGTCCATCACCTACGAATACCGACAACTCGATTAGTGACTACTGGACATCTATACTATCTGTATGTACGTCGTCCATGTTGGCGTTCAAGAGCAGCACGATCAGCGCCGTGTTGAAGAACTGGGCAATGAAGATCTTGGTCACAGTGGCCACAACCACGCCGGACCGCGTATGGCTCTTCTGCTTGAGCACGAGGTACCGCAGCACGGGCGTCAGACACGAGTTGATTACCACCACGATGACCACCGACGCCACCATCAACGCCTGAATCTCGAGGTACTGGGTGCCCCACGTGTCGCAGTACTTGACGCTCGTGCCCGTGCGGTGGTCCACAAAGTCAATGTTCATCGCGTCCTTGAGCGACGACTGCAGCAGCGCCGCCTTGCAGAAGCACATGACCATCGTCTGGTCGCCCGAGCTGCTCGTCTGTTCCTGCACCACGTCCCACGCTGTCACGCCTCCGTCCGGGCACGCCACGGGGGCGCCGTACTTCTGCGTCAGCTCGTTTTTCTTGACCTTGGCCGCGTAGATGATGATAAAACTCAAACACAGCAGCGACAGCGCCATCAAGTTGACCACGATCACTCGGACCAGACGATTCGCGGCCGTGAAGTCCAAGTTTTCCCAAATGATGTCGGTCGGGTCGGGCGCCGGCTGGATCCACATGCGCTTCTTCAGGAACCGCTTGTGGTACGGCTGGAACAACCGGTGCAGCACCCCCAGGCTCGGGTACTCGCGCATGCAGCGCAGGTACCCCTCCTCCTCCTCGAACGTGATGTACGCTGTCACAGCGACCAGCCCCTTGCCCTTGTTCTTCTTTTCCCACTCGTCCAGCCGCTTGTCGTAGCTCGTGAACTGGTCACCGAGGGCGTTCGAAGCCTTGAGCAGCCTTTCCATGCGCCTCTCGAATGTCTTCACGTCCATCTCGTGCGCGTTGGGGGGTTGGTGGGGCTGCAGTTTCTTGAACTTGGCAATGCGCTGCAACGCCACGTCCAGCTTTGCCGCCACTTCGCCGCGCTTTCGCATGAGACTGATCTGCGCGGCGTTGGTGAGTCCAAAGTTGATGTCCGCCACGCGAATGGCCTGGATAGCTTCGTTGTATACAGGGGCCTTGGCACTGAGCACCGTTTCCAAGTGGGTTTTCAGCTACAAGTCTCGAATGAGCTCCTATAACCTGACACAAATGAACGTATACGTCTTCAGCGAGCTTGGGAACGTCCTTGTGGTGCGGCAAGTGCATGAGTTGCACCGTGTAGTTGTCGACGCTCAATCGCTCCGACAGGATTTGCGTATTGGCATTTTTCTCCTGCTGTTTCATCCAAATCACAACCATGATAAACACAACCGAGTACACAATGTCGAGCCCGCACGCCATGCCAACAAAGTCTTGGCGCTATACAACGTCAATTATCATCCATTGCTTTCACCGTCGTAAGATTCGTATTCTTCTTACTGTGACAGAGTTCCACCCCATGATCTTGAACGCCCACGACGTCGACACGTCGATCTTGGTGGTGAGACATTTGGCTTGGGCGATGATACCCCGCTCGCTGCGAGTGGCGTTGGGGCACGTGGCAGTGTTCATGCGATCTGTGAGGCGCGCCTGGCAAAACAGCGGACTGGACGGGTCCGTGCACACGGTTTTGTACGTATCGTCCACCTTCCACAGGTACAGCTCGGCGTCGTCGACTGTCAACGAGCACGTTTGCTGGCCGAGGCAGAGCCCGTTCAAGATGGGCGTCACCACGGGGCTGGCGCACCCGTCTGCGTCCTTGAGCATCAGTTCGGGAAACGTGCCAGCGCCAGACACTGCGTCCTTCGTGTACCCGCAGCATGTGTCACCCGCAGACGGGAAGTCGCCAAGGAAGCACGGCAGACCCGACGTCGGGCATGCCGCGTCGTCCAGCGGGCCCCGGCACACGCCCTTGGAGCTGGCTTGGTACGCCGTCGGGCACGAGCAGGTGCCTTGGGCGTCATGCAAAGAGTACGACGACTACATAACTTGGTCGATTAGGTTTTAAAACCAAGTGAGGCAAGTAGGTAGGTACGTCGACGTGGCCAATCTCGCCGTACGGACAGGTCAGCGTCAGCGTTTCGCCGTATTTGGCTTGGGCGCACACGCTTTCCGACTCGCCCAAGTGTCCCATGCTCGTCATGCCAAGGATCGCGAGCGGATTCTTCTGGAGCTGTAGCTTGATGGCGTCGCCGTTGCCGCTGCCGCAAATGACGTAGATGACCATGGACGGTAAGCTGATAATGAACATGATCAAGAACAACCACGACATGACTTTCTACAAGAGTGTTTGTCACGAACGAACGAACGAACGACAGGAGTACCAGAAACTTGAAGTACAAGCTCACGCCAATGCCGTACTTGCTCAGCACATGCGAGTCGGTGGGCAGCGTGTGGAATGAATGCGCGCCAAAGTCGGTGGCCACGACGGGGTACGTCTTTGGCACTGGGTGGCCCATCCGATCTTTCTCCGTGAGGGAGTAGCACATGGGATGGGTGAGCCCTCGGTCGCGCCGACACTTCGCGTACGACAGGTACTTCAGATGTTTGGTGCCGCAGTCGGGCGTGTACCCTGCCAATTGGGGGTCGTGGCCAGGCGACGTGCAGTCGTTCATGCACGCTTCCAGGTCGTTCGGGATGGTGATGGCCAAATCTGGACTGGGTGTGTTCCTGTCGTTCGTAGCGGCGGCGTCGGCTTGGGTGGGCACGGCTGCCGTCGGAACTACGACGACGTCAACGACTCCTTCCTCCAAAACGGCATCCTTTGGGTCGTTTGCACCGGCGTCATTAGCACGCGGTGCAATGTCATCGGACGCGATGATGGCAGCGTCGGTGGCTTCAGGTGGTGGCACGACAGGCTCGGACGAAGGAGGAACTTCCGCAGGCTCGGAAGTCGATGTAGGAGCTTCCACGACTGGCTCGGAAGTCGGCGGCGGCGCTGGCTCTTCGGACATGCTCACGTCGGACGTTCAATGTGATCACGTGGCGTTGCCAGCCACGCACGAGATTGAAAAATCGAGTTTTGTTCTCCATTTAGCCAAGGCAAGCCAGCACAAGAAACCGTCGGTGGATTATGGAACTGCCGTAACTGCCCTCCCGATCTTGTGGAGGTCCAAAAGGCGATGAAGCTGGGTACAGTACGACTGCGGCAACATGAATGCTGCCAGGGGATTGCACTGTTCGAACTCCTTCACTAAGCTTACCTTAAGAATGGAATGGATATGTACTGTACCATGGTAACTTCGATCACATGGCGATATTCCTGCGAGTTTGCAAGTACTGTATTGGCTCAATTTGAAAAAGATTAAAAACATTATGAATTTTCAACCTCATATTCCGAATGTTTTGCCGAAAAAGGTTCAATCTTCAATGTGTTGGGTAAATAAGGTTCGGTCCAAACATCCAAATATTCGTCAAATTTCTTCAAAATTTCCCAAAACGTCGGGATTGATTTTTCATGAGTTGATGGACAAACACTTTTGATTGGCGGCCAAATCTGACTTGGTGGCAGTACCGTAGCCAATGAGAACGTGACATGATCACATCTGTCGAAAGAGAGGGCCATTTCGCAAGTTGCCAGTTCGTGGTGATCTCCGTGCAACCCAGCCACCGCCGCGCACCCACATCGAAACGATACGCAGTGAACATGGTTGGCTTTGGCAAGAAGAAGTCTGTGGGGCTGATCTCCGACACTGAGCTCGAGCGCAAGGGCAAGGTCGATGGGTCGAGTCTCCTGGACGACAACGGCGACCCGACCCATGGGACGCTGTACGAAGGCGAAAACTTCGACAAGAAGGTCCGACGAGCTGACAACCAAAACGAAGAAGACGAACCCAAGAAACCCGCGAGCCGAAGTTGGTTTCGCATCCCTGGCCTCAGCTCCAAGAAGAAGTAGCGTCGACATCGATGGTTGTTCGTATGATATTTCACCTTGATTAATATATTTCCTTGTGTTTGTCTATTCCAACGTTCCAACAGCAGTACTACTACTAGTATTCGATACTTCCCATCCCTTCACTTCGGTTTCGAGGCCATATTGGTTTTTACTCGAGTATATAAGATGCCATTAGTCTAGTTAGTGAATATTCTGGAAGAGACGGATCGTGTTGTCGGCGCCCCCGCTTGCAATCCACGGCTACAACATCCACCACCACATACATGTGTCAACAACCATTCTCACTCATACAAGGTTCATCTTCGTACCAAAGTAGGATGGAACGCGAGGGCCATGACCCCCAGACCACCCGTGACTTCGTGGCCACGCAGGATTTTCAGCGGCACAATCAGCGGGTTCTTGATCAAGTCCGAGTACACCATCGCATGGAAGATATGAATCGTCCCGTCGTCCGACGCCGATGCCATCAACGGGTATCTAATGCCATCAATATCATTATCAATATCATCAATATCTCCACGTACCGCTTGTGAAAGCCCACGGCGCGGGTCGCCTTTTCGTGGTACTTGAGCGTCTTGAACGGCGTCGAGCTCAGGTCCAAGTCAAACCAGCACAGACGACGGTCATAACTGCCCACGAGCACATGATCCCCCGACGGGTGCACATGCAGACACGAGATCCACTTGACGCCGCTGCTGAGCTTCTTCACCATGGCCTGCTGCACGAGGTTGTATACGCGGACGTGGGTTTGTGTGGCCAAGAAGAAGAAGGGCTTGGTGGGATGGAACGACACGGCTTGAATCGACCCGAGTTTCTTGGAGAACGGGTTCTGCGACGACCGCTTGGACAGCTGATGGATCAGCACTGACGACGAGTCGGCCGCCGGCACAACCGTCGAGAGGTAGTCGCCCTTGTGGTGCCACGCCACATCTGTGACACTGCCGCTGTGATGCAGCACCGCGCGGACGCCGCGCCCGTGGCGGCCTTTGCCTGCATGGTACGTCCACTTGACAGGCATGCGGGCCTTGCGGGCGGCGTCGTCGATGTCGGCTTCGGCCGTGTCGACCACTGTCACATCCACGTCGACTTCGTCAAGGGGGTCTGACGAAGCACTGGTCACGTCGTCAGAGTCAAACAGCGCGTTTGTAATGTCTGTCTCGTCGCCGTTGCCCGTGCCCGTGGCAATCAGAAGCATCTTCTTGGCCGCGGCCACCGCCACCACGTGATGGTCCTTGTTAGGGCACCACTCGACCTTGATCACCACCGCGCCCACGTTCCATGTGTGCAAACACCGGCCAGTCTCGACTTCCCACAGTCGCACGGTGTGGTCTTCGGATCCAGACACCATGTACTGACCCAACGAGTCCATCGACAGCGACCGCACGCGACCCGTGTGGCCGTTGAAGAGCAGGGCCAGCGTGTTGGGAAACGGACGGAGGTCACGGGGCTTGGGCAGCTGCGGCACCAGGCTCTCGGGGTCGATATTCAACCGGCGCTTGTTCACACGCGGGCACAAGTACCTAGGTCGTACAATCGAGGCCATTTAGAAAAACTCATCACAACGTCAAAGAAGGAGGAGTATAGAGACGTACAAGTCCAAGCACCGCTCAAAGCGTTCGCGCACAAAGTTGGAGTACCCACACACGTCGCGCAGCGAGTTGAACTTTTGCGGAATAAAGTTCAACTCGCGGTCCGACGGGTCCTGTTCGAGCCACGCCTTCTTTTCCTCCGGCGTAAACAAGTACTCCTCCGGTGGGTTGTACGACTCGGCATGACCTGGCAGGATCATCTTGGGCGCCTGGACGTGCGCCGGTCCCTTGCGGACTTGGGCTTCCTGGTCGTCTTCAAACCACATTTGGAACACGTCGGGCTTGTCGTCGGGCTTCTTGTCCACTTGGATGCGCCCTTCGCGAATGCCCTTCATGATCTTGAGCACCTTCATCTTTTCCCACTTGGACGGCAAGAACCGGCTCTTGGGCTCTTGGTCGTTGGCCAGCGAGTGAATCATCACCTCGGACGAAAATGTTTCGACCAAGTCCTAGCATGCTCAAACGTTGGCCCCAGTTACAAATCTGTGACAGCGTCCTACCGCATGCGCATCAAACTCGGGGTGGGCAAACGCGCCAGATTGCATGCGCCGAATGATTTCCAACTCGCGATCCGTCAATACCACCTTGCGGTCGTTGTATGCATCGTACACAGTGCGACTGGTTGACACTGGGCATGAGACAGAGTTTTGGGTGTGATGGATGGGGCTAGCTAGCTACCTGTAGTTCGGGTCGTCCTTGGCGGCGATGGCATCGTCGATGCCGTCTGTCTTGGTTTGCTTGACAATCTTTTGCCCGTCCACGGTGTACCCAATGTGGTCGTACTCTTCGTACCAACGAAGGGGCACGTTGCCGATTGTGTTGTGCGCTTCCTGCCCAAAGCCATGAGCGACGTCATGCGTGGACGGTGTCAAGAAAGTACCTCGTCGTCCGAAGACAAGTCGTCAATGTGCAGATGGGAAGCCACCTTAAGGGACCCATCGTCGCGCATGCGCTGCAGCTGCTTTTCACGAGATTCGACAAAGCGTTGGGTGGTCTTTTCGTCGTCGGACGCGTCGTCGTCGTCGTTCTCGTTGTCGCTGTGGTTGTCTTCCGAGGACGATCCTTGGTCCTCAAACCCATCGTCGTCTTCGTCGTCTTCGTCATCTTCTTCGTCATCTTCTTCCTCGTCGTCTTCGTCGTCACCTTCATCGTCACCATCGTCGTCACCATCGTCGTCATCGTCGTCCTCCTCGTCGTCCTCCTCATCGTCACTGTCCTCGGTGTCGCCTTCGCTACTTCGCGACGCAGTGACAGCAGCCGCCTTTTTCGCTGGTGTAGCCGGCTTGCTTGGCTGCTGCTTTACGGCAGCTTGTCGTCCTTTTCTAGCCATGTTCGATGTAGATTGTGGAGTTCCTTCAACAGTTGCAGAGAGAGCCAACCAGTGAATTCTGTTGGAGGGAATTGGATCCTTTATCCGGATCATGGGCGGGTACCATGCAATTTGAAAATACATTCTTTTTCACATATAAATCACTGAGCATCCAACCCGCTTTATCCGGATCATCATTTTACCTTCGAGTTCCAGCGGACAAAGGAGCCATGGACAAACGCAAGCTCATGCTCGATTCATTGGACGCAGCCTTCGCGTCCAAGAAGCCCAAGATCGTTCCTGTGTCCAGGAATGCACCAAAGAAAGCGGCTCAATTGCAACCAAAATCTAACAAAGCCAACAAGGCCAACAAAGCTGGTGGGGCGCTCGACGTCAAGATGAACCACCAGGCCAAGGCCCGAGAGTCCGTCAAGCAGACTGAACAGAAGAAAGACCCACCCAATCCACTCTACTCGAAAGTCGACGGCTTGCTGTACACGACTAAAACGTCCAAGGACAAGTCGCGCCCACCTCTCAAGGACTTGGAGGAGAAGCTCATGGCTTTGGCCTTGATGAAGCAGTGCCAACCCAGCATTTCAAGAGACGAATCCCTGCTGGACAAGGTCAAGAACAAGGTTTTGCAGCTAGATAACCCGCGCAAGGCCAAGTCGACCACCCAAACCGTCCCAAATCCAGCCCTACAGGCACAGTTCATCATCCATCGTCGGCATACTGTATCTCAGCTTGCATTTCCATTGTAGTTTCCACATCGAATGAGCATGAAGGTGCGACGGAAGCTTGGGCTCGTCATCCCATCCCTCCCCATCAAGTAAGTTTTGCATAGCTTATCGATCCTTAACTTTAAACGTAGTCAAGACGACGCCGCCGAACTCCATCGACTATGGAGTGCGTACATGACGGATTTCCTCGCTGAGATCGTGTCAACAACATCAAATGCCGCCACCATCGAGTCCTTTTCTGCATGCTACTATGGACCGAAGCTCCTCAAAGCAGACTTTCGAGGATGCGATCTCCGAGGTTCGCGTTTCAGTCTCGTTCCTTTTGTCTGATAAGAATATGCTCCTAGTGGTGCGGTCATCGAACCCAACACTTCTGGGAACTCGCGGCATTGTCGTGGAGGACCAGCGCAACACGTTCCGTATGCTCAGTGCGTCCGGCTTGTTACATTGTACGTGGTTGCCCCGTCCAGCCGTTCTAATCTTCTCAATATTATCGTTGTAGGCATCCCAAAGAGTGGCCACATCACGTTTGAATTTGAAGTCGATGGCAAGGCATTTCGAGTCTCTGGGGACGACTTTCGATCGAGGGAGTACTATAGCTAGCTAGCCACCGTATGTATACCTTATGGCTCAGTAAGTACCCACGATTTTGCCTTATCGAGTTGTGCCCAAATTACTGTATGGTGCCAACTTGGAATGATTTGGTAGCCAAGGCCACAAACTACGACAAAATCGAAAAAATTATACATTAAAAAACTAGTTTATTCCATGTCTTCGTCATCATCATTGTCATCCTCGTCGTCGTCAGCAGCGACGGACGTCGCCTTCTTAGCCTTCTTGGGCGCCAGACGTTCGTACACCCCGCCTTCCGTGGCCCATCGGCTGACCAACTGGACGTTGAACGTGGACAACTTCTTGTCGAAGTGCACCAGCAGCTTGGCCTGTTCCGGCGTCAGCGTCGCGCCTTCCTTGCAGATCGTGTGGTCGTTGGTAAGGACGATCACGCCGCGCTTGAGGTCGATGGGGAGGCCCAACTGGCGCAACGATTCCACCATGCTGCCCACGAACTGAGGCTGGGGACCCGCTGGGATTGTGACGGTTTCCGTGGCGACAAAGCCAGACTTGGCGTAGTCCTCGACGGACAAGTCCTTGAAGTACTTGACGACGTCGTCCTTGGACTTGTTGGTCATGAGTAGGCCCACGCCGCCAGTGATGTCCGCAGACAGCTTGAACAAGTTGTCCGCGTACTCTTCTTCCCGGGTACGGCCCAACGCCACCTTCATCACCTTGTTCTTGCCCAAGAAGAAGCGGCTATCGCTGAAATCCGCGCGCACGACCTTGAAGTGGTTGGTGCGCATGTTCTCGAACGAGAACACGTAAATCGTCTCAAACTCGTCCACGGCATGACGGATAGTCTCTACCACGCCCTTCTTGAGCTCGGCGCCCTTCTTGTTGGTCTGCGTCAATGGCTTCGATCGAACACGCTTGGATTTCGGCATCTTACTTCAATTTGAACTCTACTCAAACTTGGCAAAAACCTCCGTTTACTTACTGGCTGGCGTTCCCACCAACCAATCCAACCCATGGCCACTTTATTATTCAACCCACATGTCATAATCTATGCAACTGCATACAAACACCTAGTAATTTGACACCAAAGGGATTCGCTTGATTAAAATAGTCCGGTTTCCACACCTTGCATTTTAAATAGGGTAATTGAGCCTTAAAAAGGGATTGCAATGGACTTTTCTGGGTCAATTTGCCCTGAAGAACCTGTTTAGGGTACCTTTTCGTACCCTAAAGAACATGTCCGACAAAGCAGCCATTCATTCCCCAAACCAGCGATTTTCGCGGTCGGAATACATCGTAGACATGAGTGACGCCGCTGACTTCGTGCAAACACGCATCGACAAGGTGCAGCTGGAAGGCCTGGTGGTCCTCCAAATCATCAAGCATTGCCATGAAAGCTTGCCGCGATCTGTGGCCGGTTCGCTCTTGGGCCTCGAAGCCGATGATACCCTCGAAGTGACCAACTGCTTCCCTTCGCCCGCCGTCCAAGCCCAACCGTCGAACATGCCATCGTCCCCGACCTCGAAGGACAAGAACCTTCAGTACTCGACCGCCAGCGACGAGTATCAAATTGACATGATGAAGAACTTGCGCGAAGTGAACATGGACAACAACAAGGTCGGGTGGTACCAAAGCGCCCTGAACAGCACGTTTTCGACCACTGCCACGATCGAGTACCAATTCCAGTACCAGCGGAACCTCGGTCAGAACGCGATATGCATCGTGTACGACCCCGTAGAAACCACCAAGGGAACGCTCGCGATCAAGGCGTTCCGCCTCACGAGCGCGTTCTTCGACCAGTACAAGTCGCAAGTGTTTACAAAGGAAGCGTTCGCCAAGGCCGACATCCGATCGGCCAACTTGCTCGAGGAAATCCCCATCCACATCAACAACTCGGACCTCGTACACGTGTACTTGGCCGACTTGCACGCGCAAAAGCTCACGGACTCGGAGTTCGACCGGCTCGACCTGGCCACGAACGGGTACTTTGAGAGCAGCCTGCAAAACCTGAGTGCGTGGGCGGATGAGCTGGCCCAAGAACACTACAAATTCCAGGGCTACGAACGTGCGGTGGCCAAGCAGCGCGCGCAGCACCAGCAGCTGGTGCAGAAGCGACGGGACGAGAACAAAGTCCGCCGCGACAACGGCGAAGACGTGCTGGCAGAGGAAGACCCGAACAGCTTGTTGAAGTCGTTGAGCCAGCCGAGCCGCTTGGAGTCGCTGCTCATCACGAAGCAAATGAACACGTACTGCGAAAACATCAACCGATACGCCGGCAAGAGCTTGAATAAATTATTTCTCGCTGGCAACCTGCACAAGGAATAAGCAGAGGGTGTGTCGTCGTGGCAGCCTTCGCGGAGTGTAGCATAGACATATGTACTCAACCCTCGCGTTAATACGTTAACACTGTTTTCATGCATCCACCGAGTGGCTAGTGTAGTTGTTGTCTGACGACGGTGGAACAGCACTCAAAGCGTCCAGGCCGCGGGACCAGCTTTGCCGCAAGTCGGCTGGACCGCTTTGCAGCCACGATCGCCGCATCACGTCGGCCTTGTCGTACGCGTCGTCCCGAAACACCATCGACGACATGACGCCCGTTGGCCCCTCGTGTGTTTCGACCGTCGCTTGGTTGCGCTCGATGCTCTCGCCTGTGATATGACAACCATAACGTTAAGCTAATCCTTTCAATGACCCTCGGATCTCTCGTACACATGGAGCCCAGTACTGCAAACAGCGCTTCTCGCTGGGGGTCTCGACGGTCCAACAGCTACGAAACATCATGACATCATATTAATATCAATAAAAACAAAGAAGGCAACGCACGCGACGAGTATCTTGCACGGGCACGGGCATGATCCGCAGCGATTGGTTGCGCCGCAGCGCCTCTTGCACCAGGCGGAATCCAGCCAGCGTCGTGTGGTTGCCATCCCAAAACAGCGCGCGGAGGCACGACGTCTTGGGCAGCACCGCCGCTACGCATTTGGCCACGTCGTCGCCGCCGCCGTTGCCAGAAATGTCGAGCACTTCCAGCGTCGAGTTGGTGGTGCCGAGCGAGTGCACCACGGCCCGAAGGAGGGCCAGCGGGTACCTTGATTGGGGATGGGAGTTGCTCAGGTATAGTTCTTTGAGCTGCACTTGCTTGGTCAGCACCTTAACGAACGCGTCGCCGGGAGCGTGACGCAGGACGGCAGGCGACGAGAAAAAAATCGACTTGGGCGGGGGGCTGCCGTCGTTGTCCTCTAAGTGGAGGGCCGACAGCGAGTCGCATTGAGCTACTGCCACCACAATCGCATCCAGCTAAGGATTGCGTCAGGTGTACATATACTAGTTAGTATTGGATGAGAACGTTGGATGACGGAGATGCGTGTACGATACCGAATCGTCATGCAATGTGCATTGGTTGAGCTTGAGCACGTCGCGACGGAGGCGGGGGGATCGACTGATGAGGTCGGCCAGGAGCGTGCCGCCGCCGCCACTCAAGTTGTTTTCACTCAAATCCAACGACAGCGCCAAATCACTCGCACGGGATGGCGTGGCAAAGTGGGGGTTCTGGAACCACGGCGATAGGATCGTCGACAGAGTCGGGCTCGCGAGGGCTGGTTTCACGTTTCGGAGGACCAAGGACGTAAACGACTGAGTTGTCTCCAACATCTAGTGAAGTGGCATTGAATAGCGCCGTATATATGTATGGAATATTACCTCCCCCAAGGCGGCTGCCGTCGTGGGTTTGAGCGTATTGTACGACAAATCTAGCGCCATTAGAGCCGACTTGTACAGCGGCGCATTGCGTTTCAAAGCGTTGATGACTTGGAACGTGTCGATCCCAGTGCCAGCCTACAAAAGACAGCAAATATACCATAAAACTACTTGAACAAGAATGACGACAGGTGGTGAACGAACCAAGTTGAGATGCTGCAGAACTTTGACCTGCGACAACCACCCTGTCAACCCCGCGGTGGCCTAGAACGACCCAAACATTGAGACTTGGACGCATGGAAATTGCTTACGTCAGCGTCCATCGGGTTGAACGACAGGTCCAGAGTCCTTAGCGTCGCAGCCCACTGCAAAAACAATATGAACATTCCACTTCTACATTGCTTGGTTTGGAAATGTGCACAGGATACCGATGGTTGCGCGAGCACCGCCACAAGCGGCATCAAGTGGGTCAAATGACAATGCGCCAAGTTCAGCACCTTCGCAACAACTGTAAGAAGGTAAGATGAGCATAAAAATTGGTACCCGTAGCGGCGACGGAAACGCTTTCAAGGCGGACACCAAAGCCACGACGGATTCCTTGGCCCATTTGCTGTTGTCAGACAAGTCCAACGAGGTTAGCGTCCATTCCGACGGAGATTGGTGTTTGGTCTTGGCAGCAGATTCCAATGCCTGCAATCCCCCTCTGGACGCGAGAACGTTTGACAGGCGAATGCTAGCCAACCATCAATCAACATGCTGCTTATGGGCGATGACATACCTGGAGAGAACAGGATGCGGCTGCTCCAGCGTCTGAAATGCCATTGAAATCCCGTCGTCCCCAATCGGAAAGCCCCGGACGACAACACTTGAACACAATTGGTTACGTCCAGTAGGAAGAGAAGGCAATCGCACTACAGTACCTGTGGAAGTGACGAGAATGTTGCAAGGTCCGCAACAACGCGAGCGCGATGCCGCAGTCCGCCGGCTTGGACGTCTCCGCCATGCCAACAATGCAATGCTCAAAATCTGCGACGCTTGGGGTCGTGTCCATGGCGGCTTTGAGCTTGGTCGCAATGTCACCTCGAAAAGGCACGAGGTAGAAATCACAGCAAGCATGGTAATCACATTGGTCAAGGAAGTGTAATAGATCAATGGCTAGCGACAGAAGAAGACGCATAAAAAGGATATAAATGCTTCGACGAGCTTGTCCTTGTCGCTCATGTCGGTGCAGAATGCGTCCCAATTCAATGGAAGTGCAAACTGCAAAGTGCATTAGAACGGACTGGTTCGAACAACAACTCGTTGAGGTGGGGTACCTTTGGCCTGCCACTGAAGTGGAATGCGTCGACGAGCTTGTGGATACGATGCTGAATCGTACGCACGACATCTGCGCAATGCATCCCGGGGTCAATATGAAGGATCCGACCGCCGCTAAAGATGGCCTACGATGTTGTCAAGGTCAATCGATATTGTACTGTATGGCCCAGCGGTAGTGAGCACTACCTTGATAGCCGTTGTCGTGTCGGATTGCTCGACTTGGATTTTCAATAAGTCCAAGAAGGACCAGTCTTTGGACACTTTGAGCTTCCCACCAAGCCCGGGGGGTTTAAGTGTGATGCATCGATATTTGGACACCACAAGCATGCGTCGCGTGAACGATGCCTTTCCTTTGTGCTGGACGACCCACTTCGCCATGAGCGGCTGGTCGCTGCGAGCGGCAAATAACTTATCCAGGAACGTATGCTCCTCTGGCGAGATCGAGTCGTCATCCTTCAATCGGTTTGCAGGCCACGACACGTTCATTCTGTCGCCCTTTCTTCGAACCGTTTGGCAATTCAACGAACCGTTTCAAGGCTTGTAGCAGTTACAATTTAAATTGTGTCGTCCATTTCAATACATTCATCTAGCTATATTTGAATATTGTTTTGTACCGCCTGCATACCAGGCTCACCTCATGCACGGACAGCTCGGTGGGTCGACTTTCTTGGCTTGAATTCGCAGGGTTTATCTGTATCATATCGACCGGAGTGGTGTTGAAGCGTCATGACGGACCACGTTATTCGACCTGGTCGACTTCGGGTCATCTCGATGCTGCAGGATGGAGTTCTGGATCCCCACGTCACTCATTCGTTCCCAGCCTTCATCGCGCCGGATGGAAAGTCGGCGGAAGCGTACCTCAAGACCCAGCCGATGGGGTCGTACCTGTTCGTACACAACTTGACTCAGTCCGCATCGTGGTGGAGACCCACGGACTTGTCGCTGTCGATCATGGTCAAGTTCCGCACCCGCGTGCAAGTGGCGCACATTCCGATGCGATTCAAATCGTCCAAAACGTGGTTCACGCCCTTGCGACGGTCGGCGTACATCGAGTGGAGCAAGACCAGCCAGCACGTGCACAAGGCGTACGTGGATCCGACCATGTACCCGACGTTGCGCGCGTACTGGGCCGAGTACATGCTGTACGTCGGGGAAAAGGTCAGCGAGATTTGCCAAGACCCGTCTCTGAACGAAAATTGGACCCCGTCTTCGTCACTTCCGTCGACCATCCGCGTCTTGGGCTATCCCGTTGGCGACGGCATCCACGTGGACATCATGCAAGCCCGGCCGATTTCGATCCGGTTCAACTTTGCCCGATGCAGCATCGACATCTATTTCAACCGGCGAAGGCTCTCGCTCGACGGGAGCCTCTGGCGCATCAAGTACCCGTGGAACATGACGTTCGTACTGGTGTTTCTGTCGTGGTTTCATGTAAGTTTACTTCATCTTGCTATTAGGTTTGCGACGATCAAAGGTATGGCGTTGGGGCAGTCGCCGTTCAGAGGCGTGCCGCCCAAGTCGTTGGAGTCGATGATCATGCCCCGCGGGTCGTCCTTCAAGTACATTCCGTCGTGCCATGAGTCGGTCGAAGACGAACATGTTGAGGAGGAACTGCTCCAGGCACTCATGGATCGCGCGCAGCTGTACCAGAACACTACCAAAGAGAGCCCACTCACGGACGTACTTCAAATCCTCCTGCGGGTTCCGCCCGACCAGTCGACCAGCCCCAAGCTGCTCGAGCTGCGCCTGGACATCCTCGGCTTTCTCGTGCAGCTGCAATCCGTCGACGTGCATGCAGCCAGATGGTTCACTCGACCCACGACGGACCGCGCGGTCGAGTACGTTGTGCACCTCACCTGCCAGTACGAGTTGGGCTCGATTGGGTCGGAGAAGATCGCCCAAGTCGTCCGCGGCGCAGTCGGGGCCAATCCGGACGTGGCGTACGTGCTGAGACTAGTTCACGGCCTCCTCTCCGTCCCGTCGTTTCAGCACGCGTTTGTAAACAACCAAGGCGCGTCGGCCCTGTGGTCTCGATCGGCCAGTCTCATGGCAGAAGTTCATGCCGCCGTGCGTGCTCAAAGCCGAGGAAGGTGCCTCCTGTATGCCCCAGACACGACAACAACACACGGGACCGCTCTGGTACCATTGCAAGCGACCGGACAGTTGGGTCCACTTTGTCACATATTTGACGTAGGCCGTGACGTCGACACGTCCTTCTGGGTCCAACGCACCGCCACTACCACCTTCATATCCATCCGCCCATGAGGTACACATGACCATACTGTCGCATGCGCTCACATTCAATGGCAGGCGGGAGTCCAGTTGGCACTCCATGGGATTTCATTTGTCCGCGATGAGTTTGTCGGACGGTATCCACACTCTAAACAGCCACACAACGACCTGTGCGCCGACGATACCGACGACGACGCGACCCCTCACGTCTTCCCGCGCCTGGACACGCCGTCGTTCCGGGCACCGCCCTTGACCCCTTGCAAGGCTTGTCAGTGCCCACAGAAACTCGCAGCGTTGCAGTTCTTGCGCTGTATCGACAAGTTGCACGAAAAGTCTAGCGCGGCAGCCCTAGCGGGCAAGGCGGACGCCGCGTGTGTGCACCAGTTGACGTCCGAGGTACCAAAACATATGAGAACATCCCTTTGATCACGCGGATAGCTGGCGTTCTGGGCAAGCCAAACCGACGACACGTGTTGGAAGCGAATGTTTCTAAACCAGTGGCTTCGAAAGTTCAATGGCTGGGCTCGACAGGACGACGACGACTCGCTCAGTGCCACGGTGGACTTGACGTGGCTGACGGCAGTGGTGGGTCGCGTGCATATGCTCAACATCAATGACGGGGTCGTCCAAGTGCGCATATTCTGCCAGCTCCTTGCGAGCCTTCCAGGCCTCTTGGACGAAAAGCACAGCGACAGCGACGACGGCAAGGCAGTGGCGGCCACGATCGTCGAGATCGTCTCAGGAATTGTCACCACTGCGTCTGTGACATCGTCGCTTATCTTTGCCGTGTTGGAGCTGTGGAGACTCCTGCTGCTGTCCACGGGATGGCACGCGACCAAGCTGAAACTGCTCCATGTGCTCGTGCATTACACCCCGCTGTACTCGGCAGCAAGCGCAGCCCGAAACGCCATGGAGGAGGCTGGCTCACCCCACGCAGTGTATTACGCCAAGTGGCTTGCGGTGAGCCTAGGGTTTCTCGGTTCCCGCCGCGCCGAAACAAAAATGTACCCCGGCACGATCGGAGCAACTTGGTCCAAATTGCTTTATAAGATGGGATGTCCTGTGCCCGCAGGAGGGTTTGAAGACATGCACACGACGACATCGCACCGGTTTCTGGAGGTCGTGCCCTCCACGGACCAACTTCACCACGATGCCACCAACGAACATGGCCTCCGCTCGTGGAAAGCGTACTTGGAATGCCTCCATGTACGTGTGACATCGTTTTGTTTATTGCATCCCTTGATTGATTGGATGTAGCAATGCACACCCGCACGAATGATTCCACGAGCACTTGTCGCACGCCAATTCAGTCGTTTTCTGGAATGCTATTACTTCCACGATCGAGATACGCCTTTGGTATGGGACTGCCTTGTCACGGTGTCAACATACGCAGCCACCGCGTGGGCCGACCTGGACGAGTTTGTGCTACTTCAATTGTTTGGTTTCCACTCGGCGGATGGAGGACCTACCCTTGCATCAAGGCCGTGCAAGTCCAGTGCCACGCCCAATGCTTCTTCGCTCCTCGTCCTTGCGCGCACGGAAGACGCGTCGTCGATTCCCTTGCTTCAATTGCATAAACTGATGCCCCTGCAGCAACTGGCCACGCCAGAACAATCACTTCTAGAGTGTTCACATTCTCACCCCATGGACAACTTCAAGTTCTGGTGCTCCTCCGACATGTACATTGCCTTTGTCCTCCACGTGTTCAACCTACTCGTGACAACGGCGGACAATCAGTCGTTGAATCCGACCTACTGCGGCCGCTTTGGCGGGTCCCACGACGTCGACATCTTGTACTGGCTGCAAATGCACTTTGACTCTCCCAAGTGCAAACACTTGGTTCCACAACTTACCCGTCGACTCGCCGACCAAGAGCTCCACACCTCGCGGCGGCAATCCAAGCTCCGGCTGGTCAAGTTGGCCGCGCCCAGCCTGTCGGATCGCGTCTTGTTCTTCCGGGGCTTCGATCCCCCCAGACAAGGGGCGTTCGGAACTGTCTACCGCTGCACATCCGATATGCCCATCATTCGACTCCACTCCCCCAACACGCGCGAAAGCATCGCGCTCAAGGTCCTCCCGCCCCAAAAGTTACCCCAGGATCGGTCGATTCTCTATTGTGTGTACAATGAGGTAGTATTCACGTTGTCTTTTCGTGCTTTGACATTGGGGGGGGGAACTAGGTGACGGTCATGGAACATCTGCGCGGAAATGCCGCGGCCGTCCAGCTGTACGACTACGGCCTGTCGCAGGACGGGTACTTTATTGCGATGGAGTACGCCGAGTGCAGCCTCAAGGGCTGGCGAGACAATGCGACGACGGTGACGTTGGCCACGCTGCTGGCCGTATTCTCCAAAGTACGGAGTCCTCGCAATATATCAGGTACTAGTACTAAACCAACACTTAGGTGTGCTGGGCTCTGTCGACCGTTCATTCTGCCTCTGTCGCACATTTGGACATCAAGGTATTACTATTCGGTCAATCAACGATGTGGTGTGACACGGTTTCTAGTGCGAAAACGTGTTGGTACGCAACGCTTCATTGAGCGAGTTTAACGTGTGCTTTGGCGACTTTGGCGAGTCCGTCGTCGTCGTCCCTTCGTCTTCGTCGGCATTCGACTGCCTCTACGCCCGCGGCACGGAAGCGATTCAAAGCCCCGAAATGCTCAACTTTGCAGGCGCCGTTGGGTATACCTCGGACATTTGGTCGGTCGGGTGCTTGCTCTTTGAGCTCATCACGGGGTCAATGCTGTTTGGAAATGGTGGGCTCATTTCTAGTTCAAATGCAAAGTGGTTGACATGTATCATGCAGAGGAATGGCCGACGCTGTTTGCCCACTTGACTTGCTCGACCGCGCCAGTGCTCATGGACAAGCACGTCGCCATGCTGCATGAGGCTGTGGCCCGCCTGAGTCCCCAGCGCGCCATCGACGACGACGTCTTAACCCACCAAGTCGCCACGGTGTCAGACCTGCTCAGCTTCATCTTGGTTCGAGACCCGCTGCGACGACCTTCCCTAGATAGCATTCAACGCAAGCTACTGGACTTTCGCCTCCCTCGTCTGGTCGAGATGACGCGGTCCATCCGTCCACAGCACCTCACGGCACCCGACGCCATGGCCCGCCAAGTGCGGCTGCTGGATGTGCACCACCCTGCGCCGACGGGCAAACTTCGGCTCTCGCGACGGCTGTACCTGGGGTGGCAGCCCGTCTGGAACGGGGAGCACGGCGTTGTCATTACCCACACTCCCCCCACCCATCGGAACCGTTCGTCCCGACCTCGAACGATCTTTGTCACCCCCCACCACTCGCTGCCGTTCGACCAACAAGAAGTCAAGTACACCCAGGACCTTTTCCGCCACGCTAAGGCCATTTGCTCCATGCTCTGGGACTTGTATGTGTCGGATCGAGTGGTAGGATTATCATTATTAACTACTACTATATCTTGAGCTACCAGTTAGTAGTTAGTGATGGCCAATCTGGTAGGTGCTGCTGGACGTGCCTTCCAAGCCAGTCATGCGGGCGCTCATGCCCGTGCTTTACGTGTACCACATGCTCTTCTTCGGCCCGTCGTCCTTTGAACTGGTCAAGCAGCTCTGGAAACCCCACGAGACCATCCTCATACCGTCGACGGCGCACTTGACGTCGCTCTTGTGCTGGGAAGAGAAGCGATGCATCACGACGCAATCCGCCCAGCACACCAACACGTACCAGGTAGGTACCTTAGTACATGCATGTTTCATTAACATTCCCGTTTGTCCAGTGCATTTGTGGCACGCATGCATTTCAGACCGTATCCCCAGCCACAGCATGCTGTACAGAGTCTGCTCCTTGTGCGCTGTGCATGGTATGCAAGCCACATCGAGAGCAGGAGGTGTTCGACCCTCACACCAGCGCTCGTCCGTTGAAATGGATCGACGTCAGTGGCGATGGCGAGGCCATCGTCGACTTGGCACAATGGGGGCACTGGGAAACCACGGCCGAGGCCCCGACAGACGAAGTGATTGTTCGCGACATCTCGTGGCAAGTGTATCGGTGCTCCATCTGCCACATGCTCACTCGAGCCATCCACAAGGACGGCCAGATAAAGCGACTTGCGCAGATTCAAACGGGGCGAGCGTGGCACGACGCCCAGCGACGCTTGTTTTTCAGCTAACTCACGAACACGAATAATTTATTTCAGATGTTATTGTGAGAAACAACTAAATCTGGAGGTCAGGGGGAGGAGGGGGCACGCCAGAGACACTGTTTCGTCGGGCTGGAGCACTGGATGATGTCGGCGTTGTGCCGCGGGACGTCGATGGACTCGGCCCAGTGGACAACGACCCGCTGCGGGCGCTGTCGTTTTTGGCCATGATGGTCTGGATTTGGGTAATGTAGTCCTGGCAAGGACCTGGAAGTTCGTTCTTCGAGTGGTTCTTGGCTAGAAAGAGGCACTCGGACTTGCTTCGTGTGCGGCGGACGCGCCGCAGCTCGTCGCCGCTCTCCGAGATGTCTGTGTCCACGGGAACGATGGCTGGACCAACTGGGGTCCGTGCACTGTGCCCGAATGGAATGGGTGGCGCTCCTGAAGGTGAAGCGTCCACGGTTGGCCGTTCAAATGCTGGATGGTTCATCATGGGACTGGGCATATGCGTGCTGCTGTCTTCGGACCGCGAAGGTCGCCGCGCCAAGAAGCGGAACGAGTCCATGAAGAGCAATTGATGAATGACGACATCGTGGATCTGCAAGTTCCATATCATGTTACACAGGTTTATCCGGAAATTTCGTAACTGTCGTGCCACTCTGTTCTTATTGATCGAGGCTGAACAACGTTCTGGGGGGTAGGGGAAACGCCCAGTCGCAAGCGTTTAAAGTATGGTTTTACACAGGTTTACCGAAGATCCACTCCTTGTGCCGTTTCAAGATTTCAGGAGTCAACGTCACCGTATCACGGTAGCAGCATGCTGTGACTGTCAAGCGCTGGCACGCTACGGCCAAGCCTACCCGCACGCTTCTCTCTTGTGGCCTCAGAAAGGCTTACATCCACAACGGCACCGCTAAACTCCTAGCAACGCGGCAAGATGTAGGTAGACATGAACACCGAAGGCATATCAAATGGAGTCGTGTAAGTTCAACGTATGGACGTGTTGTGTAGTGCCCAACGTCTTCTCTAAATGCTGATCGTGGCGGCAGCATCGTATCCTGTCGAGTTAGTCGTCCATGAAGAAGTAGTTGCCTGTGCTCTTCTGCTCCGTGTCCTTGACCGAGTTGAGCTTGTTGATCCGCGGACGAAAGTTGGTCGGGTCACGTCGAAACGTGATTTCCAGCTGCTTCAAAAACATGTTCATGCCCGACAGCAGACTTTGCGGCGACTGCGCCGTACACTCGACGCCCGGTCGCCCCTTGTACACGATCACACGGTCCGCCAAGTAGGTGGCCATGATAAAGTCATGCTCAACCACGAACGCCGTCTTCTTTGAGTGCAAGATGAACCGCTTGATCACCTTGGAAGCAATGATGCGCTGCTCCGAGTCCAAGTACGCCGACGGTTCGTCGATCAAGTAAATGTCGGCGGCTTTACCCAAGCACAACACGATGGCCACGCGCTGGAGTTCCCCGCCCGAAAGGTTGGGCACGGCCTGATCGATAATGTCGTCCAAGTTTAGCGGCTTGGTCACGTCCGTCATAAACTGCGGGTGCGTGTACGAGTCTTTGATGCGCTTGTGCAACAACGCACGCACGCTGCCCTACAAAAAGCGCACACAAAAAATGCATTGCGTGACCTTTTGCTCTTGTTTTGTTTCAGATAAGGTGGTCGAACAACGTACTTGGAACTTGGGCGCGATCTTTTGCGGCTTGTAACTGACGACGTTGGCGTCATACTGCAGCGACGCCTTGGCGATCTCGTAGTGGTCGTCGGCAGCTTCGGCAGCCTCGAGCTCGTCCGACTTGAGCTGGTTGGCCAGCATGCGGATGAACGTCGTCTTGCCCGTGCCGTTCTCGCCCAACATGCACAGAATCTCAGAGTTGACAAATGCCCCGCCCTGCACGTGGAGCTTGAACTGCGTCGTCTCATTGTCCTTGGTGGACACCATCGTGCGCGTCATGCTCGGGTACGTGTACGTGTTGGCGCTTGTGTCGTCCTTGAGCTGCATCTCGTCGGCGGTTTGGGCCAGCTTGAACGTCAATTCTTCTTGTCGGAACCTAAGTAAGTTTACATCAACGTGAATTTGACGGGGGATAACTGAGAAGGACGGGGGGAGGGGGTACCGGAGGTTTTCCGTGGGCACAAATCCCGCGAGGAAGATGTTGATGCCTTCGCGCACGCTGAAGGGCATGGTCACGACGCCGTACGCACTGGGCGCGCCGTACAAGACGCAGATGAAGTCGGAGAGGTAGTCCAACACACACAAATCGTGCTCGACGCAGATGCAGTACGACGAGTGCTGGCCTTCCACCATGGACCGGATCACGAGCGCGGCCTTGAGGCGCTGGCGGACGTCCAAGTACGAAGATGGTTCGTCAAACATGTAAATGTCGGCCTGTTGCACCGCCACTGAGCAAATCGCAAAGCGTTGCAGCTCCCCGCCCGACAACACTTCCAACTACAACGCCATGTTTCGTGAGAGGGTACCAACTCGAAGATGACAACGTACGTCGCGGTCCTGGATGTGGAGCAAGTCCAATTCGTTCATGTAGTGCTCGAGCTTGCCTTCCTTCTCGCATCGGTCCCGGATGATGTTCATGACCTAAGGACGTCGTTGTGGGTGGTGTAAGAAGGGCCTGATGCAAAGTACCTGGCCCTTGACTGCCTTGGGAATGCGATCCACAAACTGGGGCTTGATGATGGCCTTCAGGTTGTCCTCCAAGATTTTGGTGAAGTAGTTTTGGAGCTCGGATCCACGGAAATGCGTCAAGATTTCTTGCCACTCGGGCGGAGACTCGTAGCGACCCAAGTTGGGCTTCAACTTGCCCGCGAGAATGCGAAGCGCCGTCGACTTGCCGATCCCGTTGGTGCCGACCAGACCCAGCACTTGACCCGGGCGAGGCATTGGCAAACTAATCCATGCCATCGTTAGGGAAGCGAGATGGCTGGAAGGAGGATATGTATGTACCGATGCAACTTGAAAGTGTTGGCACCATAACGATGGGTGGTGTTGTTTTCCAAATCCTGCGTGGAAAGGCGCACATATGAGTCGACATGCGAACGAGAAGATCCAACATGAACATGACGTATCTACCTTGGGCAAGTTGATGATGTTGATGGCTTCGAAGGGACACTTCTTCACGCAAATACCGCAACCAATGCACAGCTACGCACGGCGGTTGAGTAAACGCACTTTCAAGATGGCGACGGCCGGACGTACCCCTTCGGAAATGTACGCGACCTTGGACTTCCCCGTAACCTCAATGCACACTTTGCCCATGCGCACCACCGGACATGACTTCTTGCATTCCTGGCGACACTTCTTCGGCTTGCACTTGTCGGCGCTCACGATAGCGATACGGGTCAACTTGTCCGACATGTCCACTGCCAAGAATAAAAACTGGCCGACAACCAGCCAAAGTACTGTCCGGATAATAATCAGCATACAATCTCGACTTCAGAATGCTTTTATCCGTCTCTTGACTACGGAGTACGGAGTACTCCGGAATAGTATTACTATCCCCTTCATATCATTCCGACATGGTACACTGCATAGCACAAACAGGCAATGAATTCACAGTACTACCAACAATACGAAAAGGGATTCAAGTGCGGGATATGTTTGGCTTGGTGCGTGGGAGTTTGCCTATCGTTTTACGCCCGACTACTATCGTCGCGTAGCCAGAGCATAGTACTATGTAGTACTACTAAATCGAGCGCCAATCGACATGACTTAGTATTACTAAAATATTTTTATTTATCAGTCTCAGGTTAACTACTTCGAAGTATGCATTCCGCAGTAATAATATGATCTCTGTTCCATAATATTATTGCAGATTTCAAAATTCAAACCCCAGCAACTACCGCGCAAATGTCGAGCGTTGATGCCACTCGAGCGATCGGAAGGTATTGGCGATGGGAATGTGGCCACATGTGGCGACGAACCGCTAATTCTGTGACGATAGACGTTCCGGTGTGGTCGTGCGCAAGGATGTCCGACGGGATTCCGACGGCTTCGAGGATATTGACGACTTCTGGGACGATGACGATTCGTCTGCTGCGAACGGTATGCATCATTCGCATGCAGACCCCAGTCTTTTGTGTCTTCACCCACGTACACTCGTTCTGTAGATTCGACCACAGACATCCAACGTCCTGGCGACGCATTTGAGTTCACTGGTCGTGCCGGGAAGTCGCCGGCGACGAAATCTGTGCTGAGGACACCCAAGAAAGCATCAGACCCTGGGCCGAACGTCCATCGCAATTCCGACGGATTCGATGACATCGACGAGTTTTGGGTGCAAGCCGGCGCGTCGGCGAACAGTACGTATTGACTTCGTTTTCTCAAGTACTTACTCTTCCAAGCTACATCCCCCAGTGGTCCTCGTGCAAACGAAAGCGGCGAACTTGGCGGCACTGATCTCGAAGCGTCAAGCACCCTTCCCGAGCCTGAGAAGACTGCGCCTCCGACTCTCCCCAAGAAGCACACGCATCTCAATCGCCGCCAGAGACGTATGTTCGTTGCCGCATCCATATTTGCTCACGGGGCCATTGTAGGGAATACATTCGGGAGTGCTCCTCCATCGTCTGGCCAAGACGAGAACGACAGAGTCCAGCAAGGTGCATTCATCAAACGACGTTTCCTTGAAACGGCTCTCATGAAGCGTAGGAGTAGCCACGTCCCAACCGGTCCCAGCGTCGCGCACTGCTATCACCCCTCCATTTGCAAGACGCTCCAAGTTCCCAAGCAGCACACGTACGTCATCCCCTTCCCACAAGTCGATGCAGTTGAGTCACGTAAACGCAGCCCCAGCAGGACCGCAACCATCGCCTCCCACGGACGACACCACGCCCGTATCGACGACGAGTAGCGCTGTCATCGGTGGGGTCGCCATAAAGGACGAACCAGCTCGTAAGGCTCTCTAGGAATGACAGAATGCGCGATGGATTGACGTTGTTTGACGTAGCAGCATCCCCTGTGCGAGATGAGTTTTCATTTGGCAACATGTCATCTCCTGCATCGACGGTCAAGAGTTTGGGTACATGGAATCATCCGACACAAAGTTATCACTTTTTCAGCTGGTTTCTCATGCCACAAGGGGACTTTGTGTATAGACCTGGACTCCCCCGCCACGAATAGCTTCATGGCGGCAGGTCTGTCGCCCGTATATATTGATTGTGCTCTTTGTATGTGTCGTGTTCATATCTGTTAGGTCTTACGCCGTCGGCATCCCGCCGCCATCCTACTCAAAACATCGAGCGGACGCCATCGCCGACGCCGACTCTGGTTCGAGGTGGTCCGCCCAACCTGTCTATGTAGAAGAATCAACACTAACCAATGCGATAGACACACCGACTTCTCGGCTCAGCGACACGGACCGCTCCATGGCGGTATCTGAACAACGTACGTAACTACATGTCCGTGGCTTTCTCATTGAAAAATGGATGATATTTAGATGACGAACGAGAGGCCGACGATGCTGCGCCATCGAGGCCGTCCCCACGGGGAGGGATTCCACGCCGAAGTGCTCCACCAAAGCAGGCATCTCCGCCGCGTATGTCGGCCGTAGACTTCGATGGCCGAGGTAAGAACTTGGAAATATGCCTAACTCATGTCCTCATCCTGTGTGCTTGTTGTGGCAGAGTCGAACCATAGCCCACCATCATCCCCAGTATCCCCGTCGTCGTCGTATGCTGGAAACCGTGGTCAGTTGGATCGATCGTACTATAACCGAGGCCTCCTGTGGTGTTATTAATCGTGTGATTCCACTATAGACTCTGTTGGTCGTGGGACAAATGACTTGGATGAATCTCGCTTTCTCGGTGCGATTCTTCAATCCTTTCAAATCCATTGTGTGACGCTGTGTCTGTGTAGACGATCACGATGTCGACGACGAAGAAGACGGTTGGTTTTACATGCAAAAACTGGCATCATATTGATTGCATGTTTACTCTATGACGTGGGTATTCTTTGTAGCAGTGATGCCCAAAGTCCCCACTTCTCGTCAAACAACTTCACCGTCGAGGCGTGAAGTCGCGTCCCCCCGTCCACACAAATGTAAATGTGCTTCCACTATGAATAAACAACACCAACAATTGAGTGTATGATCAGCAAAAAACTCGATATCTGAAGACGCCCATGGTATCATGAAGACCCCGCAAAAGAAGCGCAAACATCGAGGTATTGCCAGCTGATATATTTCCCTTTATAAACGAGGATGTGGTACAGTAGTAGTGGACCGACAAGAGTTTGAGTTTGGCATGGCTTCTCCCCACGACGACGACCCGTTCGAAGGCAACTTGACGCCTATTGCCCATGCCGAAGGTACGTAGACATATATTCTTCCTATATGATTCTATTATTATATTCTTGACAACGTCAAATATATATGTATTAATATTCTATGGCAGATCATACGTTGTACACGCCTCCGTCGAGCCCAACGAAGCAACAGTTGCAGAAACCCAAGCAAACCAAAACACTCAAATCTGTCGGCAAAAAAGCCAAACCACGTTCGAACCGCCGTCGAAAGGCGAGCGCGGACGCGGGGTCGGACGTTGAGTCGTCATTTGCACTGACGGATCAGTCACGCATGGACTCGGAATCGGAGCACTCGGACGTCGATGTGACGGTGCTCAGCAACGCCGACGCCATCCGCCGCGACTCGGACAGCGACGGGGGTACGTACAGTACATCTCGCCTTCTCTCATTTGTTTGATGGACAATAGATGGCCGAGGGGTGCGTCGCTCCAAGCGGCGCCGCATTAAGCCACTCGAATGGTACAAATGCGAGCGGCCAGTGTACGAGCGACGGCAGAGCGGCGTGGGGCTGATCCTCCCGACCATTTCGCACGTCGAGCGCGCCGGCACCAAGACCCCCGTCAAGCTCAAGCCGCACAAGTCATCGTACCAGTCCAAGACGACGCCGTTCCCCACGGCGGACCTCCCGTCCGAGTTTTCCTACTTGGCTACCGACACGGGCGACATTTGGGACGAACTGCACGACGACGCCACGAAGATGCGCGTGATTGGCCGCAGCAAGTCGTCGCAGGTGTTTGCGCTCCCGGGCGTCCAGGGGTTCCCGTGTGGGTATGCCGGCCAAACGTTCAACCTGCCGGGCGGGCCCACGCTGCCGACGTGGATCTCGGGACGCCTGCTGCTGCCCCCGAGTGGCGTCAAGCAGCCCGAAAGTGTCGGCAACTGCACGCAGTCGTTCGTGGTGCTGCAGTGCCAGCCAGGAGCCCTCGAAGTGGCGTACGCACACCCGTCCGAAGGCGAGTACAACGACGAGACAGCGCAGCGGTTTCTCCTTAGCCAAGGGGACGAGTACTTTGTGCCGCCCAACAACGCGTACTACCTTCGCAACCACTCCAAGAGCGTCGAGGCCGAGTTGCGGTTCACCATCATGAAGCCGTCGCGGCTGCAGGTGGCCGAGGCGGGAACGACGAGTGGCAACAAGAAGACGAAAAAAGCCAAAATAAATTAGAGTTCATCTAGTATGTAGTTGCATGTAAATGATCCAGCGATATTCGCAAGTCCAAATGGTTGTCGTACGCGCACATGTTGTCAAAGCTCATAAACGCCAGGTCCACTTGCTTCAAGATGTCCCCGATGTCGGGGTGTTCGATGAACTTGAGCGTCTTGGCGAGGAGCGCCGTCTCGGGAATCACATGCACGGCGGCGTGGCATGCGTCCCGCTCCGCCAACGAGTCCCCCACCGAGATGAGACTGTGATTGCCCCACCCCGGGCGGTTCCCGAAGCATTTCGACGCGATCATCCCGAGCGTCTCGAGTTTCCACCGCCGCGCGTCGCCGCCACTGCCAAATGTTCGTTCGAACCAACTGCGCGCGGACACGATGTGAATTTCGTCCGACATTTTCAGCAAGTTGTTGACCGCGGGCAGGTACAACGAACACGCAATCTCGACCCATCCCGTTTCGGCTGCAGTCACGACAAAGACTGGGCCGTACGTCAAGGCTTTGGTCAGAAGCGCACAAATGCGCACTTCGAGAGCAGCGAGCACTTGGCGAACAAGTGCGCTCAACGCAACATTGTGTCCCCTGTAGGCGGGAAGGAGGCCTTGACTATGCAGCCACGTGCTTGGACACAAGGTGTCGTCCCAGTCAAACACCGCCACCGTCCTGTCCCGACTGGGACACCCCATCTGGAACGCATGCTCCTGCTGCTGGAACTCTCCGTCACAAAGCGACGAGCGCACGAGTTCGGAGTAGTACATCGCGGCAGTCTCGTTGGGATGACCAAAATTGTTGTTACTGCGACCAACCTCATCTGGACGAATATTATCCGGTTGGTAGGATACTTTTGACTCAGACTTCGCGGCATTATCCGGATTCGGAAGAATGCCGAATAAAATACTACCCGCCCCATACATTTTCTAATAGAACAAACCTCTAATCCTTCATTTCATGTCGTTTTGACCGAATAGTACAGTACTAGCCAGAATAAAGTCGATATATACGTACTATTAATAGTATATATTACGAAGTATATATATATATATACCTGATGTTAATATTCAATGAACACATGTGCAAAACCACCTACTACTTCTACTCGTACTCGTAGCAGCAAGACTGTCTACTCGTCGCGCTTCTTCTTCTTGGGCCGCTTGGCCTTGATCGAGTGCGATGGCGCCACATCGTGCGAAAAGAGCTTGGACACTTCGAGCCCCGACGTGAACGCGCTGTTGAACATGACGCGCTGCTGGAACGACGAGATGAACGGCATGAACATGGCGATAAACAGGATCGGGCCAAACACGATCCAGCCCACGGCGCGGTCAAAGCTCTTGGCCATGGCGAGGATGACCACGTGGTTGGACTTAAGCCGGACGATGGCAAACTGGACAAACCAGTACACGGACAGCACGATGATCAAAAACACTTCAAACAGTTGCATGATGGTCAAGTACAAGAACGAGAAGAGCACCACCACGAGGATGCAAAAGCTGATGTTGAACTTGATCTTGCGCAGCTTCTTCTGCTTCATCTGGCTGCGCTTGGAGAACCGACTCGCGCAGTACCCGCAGCACACGAGCAGCAGCATGAGCACCAGCAGCGCCGCCACGATAATGAACGGCTTGAGCGACTCCAAAAACACCCCCGGCGTCTTGCTCGACAGATCAAACACAATCAGCTTGTTCTGGTCCTTGTAAAACAATCGGTACATGAGCTGGAGGTAAATCCCTATCGCCACACACAAGAAGCGGCACTTGCGCAAGAACTGAACGGCGCGCGCGCTCACGCTCGAGTGCTCGAGGTACTCGAGTTCGTTGGACCACCAGCCAAACCAACTCTCAGACGAGTCGTTCTTGGTTGTAAGCCAGTTTTGCCAGTCGTTGTAGTCGTCAATGCACTTGTCCCAGTCGAGTCCGCTCGGGTTGAAGAAGAACGGCGCCCACAGCCAAGTGCCAGCAATGATCCACAGCGAAAAGCTCATGATGCCGTAGTTCTGGTTGGTTGGCAACACACATGTCTGGTAGAAGTTGTTGTAGCACCGCGTCTTCCACTCGTACGGGAGCGGCTCAATGTTGTTGTAGAACAGCTGGTCCACCCGCCACGAGCAATTGCACCATGAGAACGTTCCGTACGCTGAAAACAAGAGCAGGAGGAACACCAGCTCTACGCCCCGGTAAAAGTGCGAAAACGCATAGAACCGAAACAGCTCGGCAAACTTTTCGTGCTTGATCGTAAACCCGCGACCGGTCGCGCGGTACTTTGCGCCGCCGTGGATCAGCGTCCGGTCAAAGTAGTTCATGCGGTTCCCCATCTGAAACGTAAAGAAGAGCGGCCCGAGCGTCATGCAGTTCCACACCAAGTAGGAAAACCCATGGCGGAACCCCCGCTCGACGCCCACGACTGCGATCACGGGCACGACGAGGAGAAAGCCAAACTGGAGCGCCCACGACGTGTTCAGGACGCCGCTGATCCCCAGCCGACCCGACTGCAGGAAGAACGAGTCCAGCCCGCTCAGGGCAAAGTAGATCTTGCCGTAGATAAACGCGTAAATGCCAAACACAGTCATCGTTTGCGTGAAGTACCACCCCAAGTTGCCGTAAAACCACGAATTCAACCGCCAAAAGTCCAGGCGGCTGCCCATGCGCGCCGCATCGCGGGAAATCACGCACTCGCCTGCCCCGGACGACAGTTTGGCTTCGAACAGGGCCAGCTGCTGCATGCCCACATCACGCCCCTTGCCCACTTGGATAAACTCTTCGTGGGAGACGTGGCCGCCGCGCAACGTCGTGTTGAAACCGGCAAAAATATCTTCAGACAAGTTGATGCCCTTGGATGGTTTCGCGGTCCCGCCCGTGGTGATCGCAAACATCTTGTCAAAGATATCGGGGTGACCGTAGTGTTGGCGCACATGGAACAGCGCGAGCATGCGCTGCCCGAGGGACACGAACGACAGCTCCTGGATCTGCATGAACGCCGCCAGGTTGGACACGGCGCCCGTGAACACGTACTCGCGGAACCCGATGATCGTCAATGGGTTCTTGGCGTGTTCCTTACGGTCCACGGTGGCGAGCAAATTGGGCATCTTCAGACACTCCTCCAAGTACCCGTCTTGGTTCATATCAATGCACTGCAGCATCTCACCGCGCGTAAAGATGATCGCGTGGTTCTGGTTCTCGGGCTTGCCTTCGCCGATGATCGGGTCTCCTGGTAGCTCCACGCGGTACACTTCGACGATCTTGTCGCCTTGGCCGCGAATGAGCACGGAAAAGTACTTGGGCGGGCCATCCTTGACCTTCTTTGGGCCGTCCACGTACGCCACACGAAGGCCGGGATGCTTCATGAGCAAGTAGTCGATGTCCTGCGCTTGCTGGCGCTGCTCGTCCTTGTGTTTGCCGTAGATCTGGCACGAGCAAATGTAGTTGAACTTGAGCGCGACCATCTCGTCCAGCTTGATGCACCGGTTGCACGCACATCCGGTTAAATGCATCGGTTCGTTCTCGCCAATCTCGAGCCAGTACAGGAACCGGATGGCTTCTTCGTTGTACATCATGCCGCGCACCGTCCGCGCCAGCGTCTGCCCGCGGTACGACGCCCACAGCTGGACCTCTTCCGGGTACTTTTTCAGCGCTTCGTTCACGTCCTTGGCGTTAATGCGCTCCAAAAAGTTCTCCCACTCGAACGGGTCGATCGTTTGCAGGTAGTACAGCAGCTTGATCGAGTCGTCGTTCTCCGACGTGAGTTCCTTCACCGAGTAGAGCACGATTTCGTTAAAGTAGGGCGTGGACACGGAGATCGAGTGCATGTGGCTCACGGGCTTGGCTTCTGGCATCTCCATGAACAGCGAGTTGGTGAAAAATCGCAACCGGCGCTGCCCTTCCTCGGACCGCGGCTCCGCGTCAAAGTTGTCCACCGTGAGCAACTGGTACGCGCGGGATACAATATCAATCGCAGTTTGGTCGTTCACGATGCGCTGGAGCTGCGAACTGGCATAATGCTGCGCGTCTCCGGGAAAGAAGAACGAGTTGGGCTTGAGCGGCGTGTCGTTGAGCAGTTTCACCAAGTGTTCTTGCTTGGACAGTACCTTCTTCAGGCACCCCATCACGACCTCGACGTTGTCAATCACGTGGTACAGCGACCGCAAAAACTTGATGCTGGCTTCGTGGGCGCCCTTGGGCACCTCCAGAATGGACTTCATCAGGTCCGCGCACGCCGACCGCGCCTGGTACAGGTTGCTAAAGTTCAGTCCCTTGAGCGTCGACTTGGTCGTGGCCATCTCCTCGATAAAGTTGAAGCACGCTTCGAGCTCCTTGTGTTCGTCCCCGAGCAGCAGCTTGACCACTTGCGACGAAAACTTGTACGAGCCCAGAATCGACTCGACGCGCAAGTCGTCCTTGGTCAGCCGTTCGCGCATCGACACTTCGACCTTTTGCAGCGTCTTGTCCTTCTTCTTATCTGACTTGAGCTTGTCGTACAGCGTGTAGCTTTCAATGATGATGTCAATCGACTCGTCCAGCTTGCCCGCTGTCAAAAACGCCGGCGGGTACAGCCGCCGCTCCGCCACGTCCTTGGAATCAATCAGGTAGCTCAGCACGTTCAGTTCGCGGTCGCTCAGCACGTCCGCCTCGCGCATACTGGCGAGGCACCGGTTCCACGCCATCGCAAACGGAATCGTGCGTTCAAACTCGGGGCCAGACACGCCCGTGATGGACCCAATGTTGGAGTTGCGGCCAGATGCAGACGCAGTGTCCAATTCATTGCCGCCGGGGGTGCGCATTTCGTTGTACCCGTCGTTCTCGAGCAGCGAACTGAACCCCTTGGCCGTGCCCGTGAGTGGCTTGCTGCCTTCCGAGTACGACACGCGCTGAAATCGGCGTTCCGGGGCCGGCTCGTCCTTGGTATCCTTCTTCTTCTTGTCCTTCTTCTTCTTGCCGCTGCGCTCAATCAAGTTGGACACGAGCTTCTTGTTGAAGACTTTCGGGATCGACTTGAACGTGAGCCGAAGGATGCGGAACGACCGCAGCTCACCGATGCGCAGGTTGAACCCGCGGATGGACCCAAAAATGACTGACAACAGCGCGTAAAAGATCTGCGCGTCGTACAGGAACACTGTAATCGCTGGGATCCACAAGAACAGAATGTACAAGATGTTGTGGAAGCTGAAGTTGATGAGGAACTGGGTCGTGGGGAGGTACGTTTTGTCGTCCGAGATCCAAATGAACACGGTCGTTTCCACGAGATTCTTGACCATAAACTGGTAGTCGAACGTAAGTTTGCACGTAAAGAGGAAGATCCAAAAGCACGTGTACCGGCAGTACGCCGCGAACGGCACTGGCAGCGACCGCCCCACAAAGCCGACGCCGACGCCGGAGAACATCCGGCCCAGGATTTCACACACAAACACGAGCACGAGGCACCCGATGCCGCCCACAAAGAACAGCGGGCCATAATCGCTCTGCTTCTTGTCCGTGAACCGCTTGAAGTCGATCAGCGACGTGATGAGCTTGGGCAGCGAATTGAGCAACTGCGTCGGCTCGAGGCGGCACATCCCGCAGTTCAGTCGCCCCGGCGAGTTGTTGTTTAGAATCTGCAGCGCGTTCTCCTTGTACACCTTGCCGCACAGCGCCTGGTTGTACTTGATCGTCACGCCCTTGTTGATGTTGTTCGTGTCTGTGCCAAACACGGTGGCCGTGCCCGTCTGCGTAAAGCACTTTTCGATCAGCTCAATGTAGCACGTGCAGCGGCCGCTCTGCTTTTCAATGCACGACGTGAACGGGATGTCTTGCAGCAGCTCTTGAAAGTCCCGCGGCATGTAGTGAAACGACTGGCCCTTGACGAAGTTGGGCACTCCCAGGCACGTCGACAGCTTGGCCACGTTGCACGACAGCCCCGTCGTGTCCAACTCAAGCGTCGACGCCGCGTACAAGTCAGTTTCGTTGGCATCGAAGTCCAGGCTCGTCTTGGTCGTTAGCGGATTGTAGTACTTTTTCCCAAACACTTCGACCATGGACAGATCCGAGCCGTACATGATAGGGCTGTCCGGGCACAGCGTGATCATGTTGACGGCAAACCCGACCGTGGCCAGAAACAGCGCAAAGTTGAAGAGAAAGATGCGGCGGAACGACATAAGCGCGCGCATCCACGTCCGCTTCTCTACAAATGTCTTCTTGACTACCTTGGGGTTTCCCTTCTTGTCGGCGCTGGCAAACGCTTCGCCGATCGTGTACGCAGAGTACTTGAGGCACTTTTTGCTCCAAAAGAACTCGTTAAAGTCGTCGTAGTTGCGGATCTCGTTGTGCGGCGCGCGCGCGCCTTTCGACGTTTTCTTGTCGTTGTCCTTCTTGAGTTCGTTGTACATGGGCCGGATCACCGTGGCGAGGAAATCCCCAGATTCCTTGGTCCCGCCCGCCTGTGAACTCGGCGCGAGGTTGTGGAACAAGAAGCACAGCAACTCTGGCGTCTGCCGAAAGTTGCCGGCTTCCCCCCAAATGAGAAAGAACAGCACAATGTCCGTGAGCGTGTCGCGCGTAAACTTGGGCTTTTGGCCGATGTACTTGCACCATTTCTTGTAGTTGTCAAACAGCTTGGCGTGGAACTTGGTCACGGCCTTGTCGGCCAACTGCGCTTCCCGCTGTTGGTCCCGGGCGGGGACGGGCTGGTTCGCCGGCGCTTTGGGCTCGGGAACGTCCAACTGCTCCTTGTAGTTCGTGAGCAACAACAGCACATGTTCCTTTTGGTTGAGCACGTTGTTGTCCTGGAACCCAAATGTCGTCTTGAGGGACTCAAAAAGATCTCCGCTTTGCGAACTACAAACCACCAGGTGAGAACCGATACATGCACACGTGAAGTGGAAGCGTACTTAAACAGTTTGGACGCAATGGAATGGTAAATCTGCGGGAGATTGTCCAGTTCCAAGATATTAAACTTGGATGCGGCGCGCTTGTTGCCGCCGACGGCAGGGTTCTTGGCCTTTTGCGTCTTGATCATCTTGACGTATCGCAGCATCTTGTTGTTGAGTCGCGCAGACGCGTCCTGCTCTTCTTGTGTGCCGTATTGAATACCCAGCGCCGTTTCAAAGATCTCGACCGCTCGATTCAGGTTCCGCTCCGCGAGGTCCGTGTCCCCACCAGAGTTTTGGATGCCGACGCTTTCGTTCACCAGTGCCATGCCTTCGTCGCACAGCTGCTTCTGGCGTTCAAGGCCGCGACTCGCCGCATTGTCAGTGTCTCCTCGTTGTTGTTTCCTCATCCCAAACGTCCGTTGTGTCGCAAGGGGAAGTCTCGTCGGCGGCAAGGGACTTGGCACGGAATTGACGAAAACGAAAACTAACCGCCCAATATTTGGCGTCGGTTCTGACGTTTTATATCGAAAAACTGAGTCTTGCCCCTGCCCGGTATACAAAAATTAGGATATTTCAATACTAATACTACATCGGGGCTTTTTCACGTTTGTAAAGGCCAGGTCGACAGTTAGTAATGGCCAGAGAAAAACCTTTTTTCGTTTTTTTATTTCTCGCATCCGATACAAATAGCAAGTGGAATTGTATCCGAAAAAAGATATGTTGCGCCTAAGCTCTGAAAAATATAAATCACTTAACAGTAAGCACACGAGCACCAGAATAATTCCCCCCAGCAGTATTAATATGTTCCTTACCTTCAAAACACCCAAACTATACGTACACCTTTAGTGGGGGAATTCCTTAGATAAGATTCCACACATATATACAACAAAAAACCCTTGTAACATGGGACTTCGTCCTACCCCCGGAGGGCACGGATGTTTCGAAGTATAATGTTATTCCCGGAGTTAAGCGCATCACATCGGTTTTCTATCGCTAGGCACTGAGACGACTTAACCCCTCGCTGACATGCGTTGCTGGTGCTACTGCATCATTAGAAATCCCACAACTATACTTATTTATGCAATAATTGCCTAGTCCTCTAACCCTTTCGCACCCATTTCAGACAGTTTGATTGGCCAACGCAACTGAACTTAAACGTTCAAAAGTTACACAAGAAAAACCTCATCCAAATCACAATGAACGAAAACTCTCAATCATCTCGCATGTCGACTCAGTTTGTCCCTTATGCAACATGCTAATGTTACTTCAAAATGTCCACTTCATACATGAGAACGCGAGGATGTTGGGATGCAAGCACAGCGGTGGTGTTCACCGGTTTGCCAGATCTCTGACCTTGTATTAGAACGGTATTTTGTCGGAGTCTGAATGCGTGAGGTATTATTATATCAACATTTTATAAAGAACTTTGTATTGAATTGTTTTAAATGGTTTTGACGTTACATGCGGAAATGCATGATCTCTAAAAACTGACATGTACTAGTACTAGTAGTATACATGCTGCGCTCGCACATGTGCGCATGTTTGGAAAGTCCAATCGCAGGTGGTTGATTTCTCGGTAAAGACGCATGGAGTTGAGCTGAAACTTTGAGATCATGTACTTCACATGTTTAGGAAGTTAGTGCATGCAAGAATTCTTACCTACATGGAGTACAGAAGACGAAAACGACG